TCACAGCCATTTTCTTCCCCATTGGGCACTTTCAATTTCCAGCATGACGGAAGAGGGCAGTAAGTGTTCCTCAGCCAGTGGCTTCCAACCTCAGTCTGACCTTGTTGGTAAGCCCTCAAATATCTACATTCCCTTCCTAATAGACCATCCCATTAATCCCACACTTCCCCAAGTCCCCAGGCAATTGCCTACATAACTTACACCTGCCTACCTTTCCCATCCTACCCTTGATATATCAGGTGACCATGGTGGATCGTTCACTGCCCCCTGCTTAAGACAGGATGCTTTGACTGTGAATGACCCCCTCTCCTGCATTAGCCATTTCCCAGTCATGCTTTACCATACCCTCCATTATGGATCCTGCTGAAGCCTATGAGATCAGCAGAAACTGGAGAGAGAGAACCTGGGAGCTTCTGGTCTCTGTGACTCAATGCTACACCAAATGTTGTCTTTACCTGCCAATCATCAGGGAGCCATAACAACAGCTTATAAAACTTCCAGCCAGATTTATACAACAACCAACTTCGCTTGTTTTCCTTAGACATTGCAATCCTCTCAACAAACAAAAAATTCCCCGAAGTGGAGTATAGTTTGAAATCATAGCCCTTAGTGAGCAGTAACTCACTGACTCAGAAGACGAGCTGAAATAACAGTTTTGTGTACTGCTTCATGCTGTAATAGTGCGGACAATTCGTCAAGAGAGCAATCATCCCCTTAGAATCTAATCTATAATCAGATGGAAAAATGTAACTCAATGTCACTTTCACTGGATAATTGGACTGAAACTGTGTGTGAATGTGTTAGGTCTGTGAGTAGGTAAAGTGGGCCATCCTGTTATCTTCATGATTGATTCCTTAATTTCCTATTGACAGCATTTTCTCTTGACAGATAGCCCTGTAAGCTTTGAAACACTTACTTTTGCTTGTTGTGTTAAACCCTGAAGTGAACTGAAAGCTCAATATTTTAACTTCACTTGGGCAAATCAAATCAGATCGATCATTTCTTAAAATGTTCACAATGAGGTGATTTCTTTCTTGTACTATCAATGAATGACAGAAATTCTCCTTTTCTTTTTTGACAATTAAAAAGCAAGTGGAAACCTCTCCTGATGGCTCAGCAAGTTTATTCAGTAAACCATAAAGACTACAAAAGTTGGATTTAATCCTCAGTCTCTACTCAGGCAGGGAAACAGAGAAGTACTATGGTCAATGCTCCAGGGCAAGGAGATTAGAATCCTAAACTTCACTTGGGTGGCCATTATCCATTTATGTGTTAGCTGTAGAAAGAGCATTGCGAAGGACATAGAACAAAGCAGCCCAATCCAATCATATAGTCGTAGAGTCTTAGAGCATGGAAACAGGCCCTTTGGTTCAACCAGTCCATGCTGATGGTGTTCCCAAACTAAACTAGTCCTACCTGCCTGCACCTGGCCTGCATCCCTTCAAACATTTCTTATTTATATCTAAATGTCTTTTAAACATTGTAACTGTACCCGCATTCACCACTTCCTGTGGAAGTTCATTCCACACACGAACCACTCTCTGTGTAAAAAATTTGCCCCTCATATCTTTTATAAATCTTTCTCCTCTCACCTTAAAATATACCCCACAGTTTTGAAATTCCCCATTCTAGAGAAAAGACACTTGCCTTTCACCTTATCTATGTGCCTCACGATTTTAAAAACCTCTACAAGGTCACTCCTCAAACTGCTACGCTCCAGTGAAAAAAGTTCCAGCCTATCCAACCGTTCCACAGAACTCAAACCTTTCATTCCCAGCATCAACCTGGTAAATCTTTTCTGCACCCTCTCCAGCTTAATAATATCCTTTCTATAACTAGGCAACCAAAACTGGACACAGTACTCCAGAAGAGGCCTTGTCAACGTCCTGTACAACCTCAACATAATGTCCCAACTCCTATACTCAAAGGTCTGAGCAATGAAAGCAAGTGTGCTAAACGCCTTCTTAAAAGAATACAAGGTCAGTGCTCTGATTCTTTTTCCTCATAAGAATTCTAAATTCTGTAAGCATTTTCGTTGTGCTCTGATCGTTTTTCAGTACAACAGTATTTTATTGAGAGAACTGCATGACACATTTGAAAGTGGCTTCATAAATGATCTCTGCAAGGCCAGAATCAGCATTTTGGATTTTAGGCTTAAAATTACATCAAACAGTCTTGTCATCAGACACATGTTAAGATATTTCTACCTGTTGCTATTTTAAAAACAGCAATAACCCATTAATGTTCACAGAAATATATCAAACAGATAAAAACCATTACAATTGCTTTATCATCCGAAGAAGACTTCATTGGTTGTAAAGCATTTTAGGAAGTTCTGAGAGCATGAATGTCATTTTATAAGCGTGTGAGTATGTATGTGTTTTATTCCCAGTGTGTAGAGTTCAAAAATTAGGCACCATAATTTTCAGGTGAGAGGGGATAGATTTAATGGAGATGTGCGAGGAAAGTTTTTTCTTTGTTACACAGAGGGTGATAGGTGCCTGGAACGCACTGTCAGGGGAGGTGGTAGAAGCAGATGTGATAGCAACATATAAGAGGCATTTGGACAGGCACATGAACAGGCAGAGAGTAGAGGGATACGGACCAATTGCAGGCAGATGGGATTAGTTTAGAATGGCATCATAGTTGACA